AACAGGTAAGACAAAAATATGCTAACTAACTAAATATGAGCCTATATCCTCTTCTGTTCATACTTCAAGTATAGACTGTACAATGACACTTGTTTTTTTCACATGTAGGTAACAATGCTTAACTATATAGACTATATATGCCCAAATTGAATTACAATATTATTTTTGGTCATGTCATCCACCCGACCCGCCGTTTAGCCACAGATACCTCGGCTGTAACCACACTCCACGCATCTCTAATTTGGTTTGTGCTGTTTTGTGCTGTGGCCATTTTCATTTGTGCAAGTTTATTTCTAAAATTATTAATTATTCATCTCCGCTCAGTCGACGGCAGCAGCTTTAGCAAAACTTCACAAAACTAGTGAAAAGGAACAATGTGAGTGTGTGTAAAAGTCTGTGTCAGTCTTTAATAACTTGCTATTGATTCATATTTCATATAATAGAACAGACTTTTCCACAGCCGCAGGTCGTTTCTCTTCACTAGTTTTGTGAAGTTTTGCTAAAGTCGCTGCGTCAGCTGAGCAGAAATGACATACAAAATATATAATTTTCACAAAAATAATAATTCATAATTTTAGAAATATAGTTGTACTGGAGAGGAGAATCCGGCCGATAGTCGAACCTCAGATCCAGGAAGAGCAGTGTGGTTTTCGTCCTGGCCGTGGAACACTGGACCAGCTCTACACTCTCCATAGGGAGGAGGCCCCGGGGAAGACCCAGGACACGCTGGAGGGACTATGTCTCTCGGCTGGCCTGGGAACGTCTTGGGGTCCCCCCGGAGGAGCTGGAGGACGTGTCTGGGGTGAAGGAAGTCTGGGAGTCCCTGCTTAGGCTGCTGCCCCCGCGACCCGGCCTCGGATAAGCGGACGAAAATGGATGGATGGATGGAAATGAAAATCATCACAGCACAAAACAGCACAAACTAAATACAAACGTTTAGCATGATTTTCTGCTGTTTTGAGGCTGTTTAACATTTTGTGAAGCTGGATGACGTCACTGACCTAAAATAAAACTGCTAATATCAGCCATAGCGGCTTGTTAAAGTCTGGTCCTGTCAGATCTCTGAAGCTCAGGGGTGTGGTTAGTAGTGGTTAGTACTTGTGTGGGAGACACTGGGAAAATCAGGAGCCACAGGAGGCGTCAGTCACAAAAACTCGCTGTGTACTTAGGCAAGACACTTCACCCTCATTGCCTAATATGAAAGTATGAAAGTGGTGTGTGTGTGTGTGTTGATGGTGGTCAGAGCGGCTGATGGTGCAAATTGACTGCCTCGCTCCTGTCAGTCTGCCCCAGGGCAGCTGTGGCTATAACAGTAGTTTACACCACAGCGTGAATGAATAATGATCTGTAAAGCATCTTTGAGTGTCCAAAAAAATGCTGTATAAAATTGATGCATTATTATTACTTTAAGAATCATAATCACACAAATGAAACTGTGTGCAGCACAAACAAAGCACAATCAACTGACTCTGTTTTGGGCGTTTTAGAGCATTTTGAAGCTCCCAGGGGGGTTGACTGACCCTAATTTGACTTAATATCTTAATATCTCCAAAACTAAAACAGCACAAACAGTTTTGTTTTTTCAGAACAAAAGAAGCACAAGCGAATGACATTGTTTTAGTGTAGGTTTGCATTTGATGCGGCCAATGTCATGCAGGTGTAAACATATCACTCTGAAAACTTCAATAATGATAAAAAAAAAAAAAAAGAGCAAATCTTCAAAGTTACCTCTGAGTCACAATAATCCTTAATGGCCGAGGTTGGTGCAGGGTGGAGGTTGTGTTGGTCAGATCTTCCATGATGCGTCCAAGTTTTCCACATGTACTTGAGTAAAATGTGTCTTGCCTCAGTACAGATATATTGTACATGCACATCTTGAGATCAGAATAATTCTGCTGTGTTCTATCTGGATCTAAAGATAAAATATTTTATTGTCAGAGAATCAGGAAGTGCACTGTTAGTATGCTACTTCTCGTTAGAGGTGGGACCAAGTTGTTGTTTTGCAAGTCTCAAGTCTTTGACCTCAAGTTCAAGTCAAGTCCCAAGTCAAATACAGGCAAGTCTAAGTCGAGTCTCAAGTCACTGGCCCATAAGTCCAAGTCAAGTCCAAGTCGTCTGCTTTGAGCTTCAAGTCATTTCAAGTCTTTAAACCAAAGCACCAAATACAGTTTAGTTTTTAGCATTTTTAGATGGATTTTAAGCTCAATTGTAAATTCATGGTATAATTATGAGTATTTATAGAAGAGTTGTAAAATTCTACTTTTTCTTTTTTAAATGTCAATTGACAGGATCTTGTCTGCACTGAAATGGACAGATCATGTATGTACTTCCCTCAGTTTTACTGTATTGTTCTGTATATTACTGTAGTACATTTGATGATATCACATCACAGTACTTCAGTTAAAACCAAAGTACCAAACAGAGAAGTGGGAGGGACATGTTCCAGTTTGTTCCTGTTTAGGAGAAGCATCAAGTGTCCTCAAGTCTCAGGCCTAAAATTGGGGTCAAGTTCCAAGTCGTTGACCTTCAAGTCCAAGTCGAGTCCCAAGTCTTAGGCTACGTTCAGACTGCAGGGTTTAATGCTCAATTTGGATATTGTTTGTGAAATCCGATGTTTCCAATTAAATGCGTCTTGTATGTGACTCCAGTGTGAACATTAAACGGCCCAAAAGTGTCCCTCATGTGACACTGGAGACACGACGACGTCAACCGCAGCGAGCGTCTCTGTGTTTACAGGAAGTTGTCCAAACATGGACGCAGCATTGAGCACCTGGAGATTTTAAAGTTCCTCTCGTACTGGAGCCAGAACATGAACAACTTACTTGTTTTAAGAAGGAGATTGAGAAGGAGAAGGACGAGGTTTTTGGCCGTGGTGTTTTGTGGGGCAGCGGCAGCGACGTCCGTTGAAAGGAACGTGTGGATGTGGAGACGGAGCCAAGAGTGGTGAGTGGTGATGTGCTTCACTTTCAGTGACACGGAGTTCATGAACAATTTTTGCCTACGACAGCGCAGAATAGTGACGTTTGTGTCTTGTTGATAACGTGTAGGTGGATGAATGCGCTTTGGCCGTTCACACTGAAGTCACATGTCAAAAGATCAGATATGTATCAGTTTCAGGAGCACATATCCAAGTGTCCTGGGTCACATTTGAAAAAATCGGATCTGTGTGGTTCAGACTGTCATTAAAAGATCAGATACAGGAACATAGGGGCCAAAAAATCGGATTTGGGTCACTTCAGGCTGCAGTCTGAATGTAGCCTTAGTCTATTTTATCAAGTCAAGTCATAAAAATAGTGACTCAAGTCTGACTTGAGTCCCAGTCATGATTTGCAATCCCCAGCTCTGGTGATGACACCAGCGTCAGTAGTAAACATTACTACATGTACCGATGTGTACATAGTAATATTATAACATTAATATTTCTGAAATCTCATGTTACTTTGGTCGATAATGCACCAAAAACACAGAGGGCCACGACGATAAAACAGTAAAATATGAGTTTTTATTTGAATGAAGTTTACACACTGGAGCCGGCTGTTAGATGTCGACTGTTTAAACAAAATGTGTCCCTTTAGAATTAGAAGGTTCTATCTGTATTCTGGCCTTTTCTGGGTTTTGACCTCTTATACAGCAGCAATAAAAGAGGAGATAAATTTATTTGATACAAGAGAGTAAAGGTCACCCTCAGGAGAGTCTGAACGGAGATAATGAAACTTGTGACATTTGTAAAAGTGGTTGTTCTGGAAAGTGTTTTAGTTAGTTAGTGTGGTGAGAGCTAACAGCATTCTACTTATGCAGAACATCAAAGGTATGAATAAAACTTCAACTTTCCTTTGATTTTATGTTTGCCATTCAGAATGACTCAAAACACAGGAAAATGTGTCTGAAATTTGAGCTGAAATGTCCTTTTAAGACCAAAAATGCAGTAACAGAACAAGGACGGAACAGCAATAATCCAAAGCAGTTAACTATAATTGGTGAGTTTAAATGTATTTTATGTCGGACTGGTTCAGACAGACAGAACCTTATAACACCAAGTGAATCTTCAAAAATGCATCTGTTTTCGCATCAACTCTAAACCAGGACTCAAACAAAACTATCACAACTGTTGACAAATCTGATCCCCAGCAACAGTAAAGAGGAGCATCAGTTGTTATTTGTTTAGCCAAAATACTCAAATCTGTGTTTGCGAATGACCATAAAGCAAAAAAAAAAAAGGAAAAAAAGGTTGACGTCGTCGTGTCTCCAGTGCACATACGAGACACTTCGGGCCGTTTACTGTTCAGACTGGAGTCACATACAAGTCACATTTAATTAGAAATGTGAACGACCTCGCAAAAACATCGGATTTGAGCATTAAAATCAATACAATCTGATCCCGCACACATCCTGGATCTTATTCTTTGCTCTTAGTTCATGACTCGATATCAGCAGATACTCAAAATCAAATGACTCGGACTCGGAGCCAAAAAGAATGTGATCGGGACATCCCTATGGTATGGACTAGGGCTGGGTATCAGTAAGAAGTTGCCGATACGATACATACCTCGATACACAGGCCACGATACGATACATATCTCGATACAGTGCACTTTCGATTCGATATGATATATTTCAAATCGATTTGATACAGTTCAATAAAAAATAAAGGCTAAATCGTGGCTGTGATACTAAAAGTCTTTGTTAAACCACTTCTTCTTGTGCAAAGTTCATATGAAACATCCATCCATCCATTTTCTTCCGCTTATCCGGGGCAGCAGTGTAACCAGGGACTCCCAGACTTCCTTCACCCCAGACACATCCTCCAGCTCCTCCAGGGGGACCCCGAGGTGTTCCCAGGCCAGTCCAGAGACATAGTCCCTCCAGCGTGTCCTGGGTCTTCCCCGGGGCCTCCTCCCAGTGGGACATGCCCGGAACACCTCCCGAGGGAGGAGCCCAGGAGGCATCCGGAACAGATGCCCGAGCCACCTCAACTGGCTCCTCTCGACGTGGAGGAGCAG